GACAATGGGTCTAAACTGTAGGCGGAAGCACATATGGTTACAATCAATGTTTTAATGTATGGATATGTAAAAACAACTTTCTATTGTGCACTGCCATACAAGGGCAGGGATGGGTTCATAAGTGACGCAGCTTAAAATATAAATAAAATTGTTCTTCATTCTTTAAAATGGAGAAGCAAATTTTGGATAAATTGTTAGGATGTCGTCCAGAACACCTGAGTCAATGAAATAGTTACACAGTTGGTGGTACAATAGGCCAGGAGGTCTAAAGTCTTTACGGTTTCACATTCAACAATATAGTGTTGCAGTGAATGCATTAAAGATTTATCACAGAGTTTACAATCTGAATATTCTGGTAGTGGCTCAGTCTCACTAACCTGCTAGATGTGTCTATAGCCAAGGCGAATTCGCGCAATGACTACATCACATTGCCTGGTCCGGGTACTGTGCCGACCATACAATTAGCTATTATTATAAAAGTTGTCATAGATGGCCAATCGATCTACAAAGTCATGTTTTCCATCTCCAATATGGGATGGGATCCACACCAATTTTATACAATAGTTATTATCATTGGCAAAAATTCCATTCCATTCAATTAAAAAGTAGAAATCGGTACTATTGAATTTGGACACACTGGAAAACGATTTTCTACTTGATGTTGCAAAAACAAACTAAACTAAACTAACCTTCCTAGGCCTAATACACGCCTAGGCCTAATATAAATATAATATAATATTAGTAATATATTTACTAGTAATATTTAAGTTGGGTTTTCAGCTTCATTTTTTTCGGACTATATAAAGTGAATAGTACTTATTGAATAGTGATAAAATTGAATAGTGATAATAGTGAAGTGATAAAATTGTGTTGTTTAGTAGGTCAATATTTTTACTATGGTGCCTCTAGATACATTAAGTAACTAGGGGCAGAAGAGGATGGGTTATATACATTATAAAATTACGACTACCAGGTTATATTATATTAATCGTCCAGATTACGAATTGGTAATAGTTTTCTGATCAATTAGTATAAGAGTGTGTCACTCTAGATTGCAGCTCAAGGCTGTAGAGAGAGTACCGCGAGAGTACATATGTCAACGGTACTGGTGGGTACCTTTCTAGGCAGCCTGTACTCGCCTAGTTGTACTTGTGGGGGTTGAGCTCTGGCTCATTGGTTCCGCCCCCTCAACCGTCAATCTACTGGTGTACAGATTCACCTTAAATGATAATGTAATGCAGCTCTTGCGTAAGAGTATAAAGCCCCAGAGCACCGCTCCAGGCCTACAGGCACATGCTATAGGCAGCTTCTGTGAACTGAGCAATATCTTCCCATCTTGCGTCTTTCCAACCTATATATAAAGCTATGTTTTTAACGTTACGTAGTAAGGTTTCCTTCTTGCAGAAACCCTATGTTGCTAAGCCAGTGTTCACCTTTACGGTATCCTTTGAGAAATGTAAATGTATTACATTTCAATAAATTGTTAAAAGTTCTTACTATTTTGTATTTTCAGCACTTTTACATACTCCACTCTTAATGTTTTTCAATCGTGTTTACACCAGTCACGCCACCGCGACTTTGAACTGTATCGCGGCATCCCATCTCTGTAGCCATTTTTAGTACCCACTGTGAGGTACTGTGTGGTTTACACTGCTTCCATTGCAGTTTGTTTTTTGGGAAGCTTCTTTACCTATGCTTCTGTCATCTGTTGCTCATCACAGCTCGAGAATTCCACTCATCTCCCATACCAGGAATTGATCTCGTTTTGTGCTTGAAAACTCCTGAGAAGTTCTTATGTTACCTTCTTTTCTCGGTCACTCACAGTGAGTTTTATTATTATTGAGAGGGAGAAAGAGGCAAGCCATTGCGACTATATAGCCCTTGGAAGGGGTCAGGATAAGGATTTGGGATGAGACGGGGGGGGGAAGGAATGATGCCCAACCACTTGGACGGTCGGGGATTGAACGCCGAACTGCATGAAGCGAGACCGTCGCTCTACCGTCCAGCCCAAGTGGTTGGACGGTAGGGAAGGGAGACGTGGGAGGAAGTGTGAGACGTGGGAGGAAGTGTAAGCGGTCACGCCTCACGGAGGGACAACTTCCTTAACTCTCTGTGACAAGTCTTGATCTGTAGCGGGCCTTACTGCTCACGGCCGAGACGATACTTCAGCTGCTGTTGGCGGTGTTGGTCCGGCCCGCTCTTGCTACCGCTGCTACTTCTTATACTGCTGCTGCTGATCTTACTGTTCCTAGTAGCGACGATATCACTGTCGCTGGTACGACTTGTGCGGCCACGCTAGCAACTGAACATTTAGCAATATCCGTTACACAATACTGTCCGTCGCAAATGATGCCCGCTCGCATCTGTCGCTTCTGACTTGGTTCATGACTACAATATCACGTCTAATCGTTCCTTGTACGATACCGGTACTTCCGGATTACATTTTATCGTTCCAAAACACAATATTAGTGTTCGGGATTCCGAATGATTTAAAAAAATTTGCCCCAAGACAGAAATATCACAGGCCCCAAACTAGGGTTAAATTCAACAAAGATAAAAAACTAGGAACTTAAGACTTACGGAGCTGTCTACTACACATGCAGGTCGTATCCTCATCAGAAGCTTGTCAAGGAACAAAGTGTTTACGCATAATATATCAAGATCAAAGCCAGAGGCCTTGCAAGAGGTTGCAATAGTCTTTGCAATACGAAGCTGTCATCGCTAAGCAGATAAACAAGGACTCACCATTTACCTGGTTCAATCTGACTAGTTTTGTGCCCTCAATGATTTCTCTCGATATTGTTAGTGTAGTTGAAGGGTTGTAGCCTTTCTGGAAGGGTTGTAGCCTTTCTTGAAGGGTTGAACCTTTCTTGAAGGGTTGTAGCCTTTCTTGATGGGTTGTAGCCTTTCTTGAAGGGTTGAAGCCTTTCTTGAAGGGTTGTAGTCTTTCTTGAAGGGTTGTAGCCTTTCTTGAAGGGTTGAAGCCTTTCTTGAAGGGTTGTAGCCTTTCTTGAAGGGTTGTAGCCTTTCTTGAAGGGTTGTAGCCTTTCTTGAAGGGTTGTAGCCTTTCTTGAAGGGTTGTAGCGGCCGCTAATTCTGTCTATTATTGCTGCGTCAGTCACCTGTAGCTCATAGAAAGGCACTTTAAATTCATCTTAGCTGTAAAGTTGATAACCGCAGTAATGATGCTTTTTTAAAGTGCAGTCTCGGAAGTGTTCAACCCACACTCGGGGTCTCCAGCTGCTGTTCTTCCAGAACCACCGGGAACCTGCAGCTGTTACTCTTCCAGAACCACCGGGAACCTGCAGCTGCTGTTCTTCCAGAACCACCGGGAACCTGCAGCTGTTACTCTTCCAGAACCACCGGGAACCTGCAGCTGTTACTCTTCCAGAACCACCGGGAACCTGCAGCTGTTACTCTTCCAGAACCACCGGGAACCTGCAGCTGTTACTCTTCCAGAACCACCGGGAACCTGCAGCTGCTGATCTTCCAGAACCACCGGGAACCTGCAGCTGCTGATCTTCCAGAACCACCGGGAACCTTCAGCTGCTCTTTTTCCAGCTAAAGCCAATCTCCCCCTTCCAGAAATTCATCCAGTTATCCGAACACACGGTACGGGGCCTTCATTATTGAATTTGGTCACTTTTTATACAAAACTGAATTCTTAGCAGATATTAAAGTGCTTTTTACGTGAAAATTAATCCGAGAAAGGCAACCAAAAGACGATTTGATAGCATCATATCTGCCAGAGCCTTGATGAACCTCAGAGAAGAAAACGCTCCGTTCTGTAAAAACTGCTTTCGAGATGGATTCCTTAGGGTTGAAAATGTGAGTTACGAGAGAAAGGAAAAAGATTTAAGGAAATACACGGGGAATCGAACAGGTGGCGGGAGAATGCGAAAAAGCGAATAATAGGATAACGAAGGAAAGACTGAGAAAGACAGGGGGAAAGTCTTATCTTCTAGTTGCCTTCCGTCTCACTTGAGGGGAAAAAAATCATGATTTTTTATTTAATCATAATCCAATTAAAAACTTGGGCGTCCCAGCCTCCCTGAGCCTCGCTAAGCTTTTTTAGAATGTCTAATGTTATTAAAGTAGCCGGGCTTAAGACGCGCCTCTTTCTCTCTCTCTCTCCCTCCCTCGGGAGGGAGGAGGAAACGAGGAAGGGACGGAATAATTGGGGGGGGGGGGGAGGGGGACGAAAGTTTTATTTCGCATGGTGAAAGGAGGGAAGGTATTGACTACATCATTCCATCAATCCTGACTAAAGATCCATCGTTCATCATTAGTGATGGTTTTGACCAGGTATGTTATGTTGCAAGGAATGTAGTCACTCCCATGAACTTCACGAATACAAAAATAAAAAATAAACTATTTCGCTATTTAAACTACTAAATAAAACAGGTATATCAGTATTGTTTACAAAATTCATCTCATTAATATGCAAGCTCTTCGTAGGGGGCTAAAATAATCAAATATAATTAGTTATCTATATATTAGAACATCTGTGAAAAGTTGGAGGCCAGACACATAGGTCTAGTTTCACCTAATTTTTAATAGTATTTGCTGTTGGGTTGGGAACATGGCAGCGTGTCAGGTCAGAGTTGGCATAAGTGAAAGGAGTGCCACTTAATAATGCATCAATGGGACCCCCATGACAAACCTTACAAATATTCTACTAAATGAACTTTCAAGTATTTGTTTCTTATCACAATATAAAACATTATGCACTGATGTCTGCAAAATTTTCAAAATGTCTATCATACTTTTCACCGGGTGCCCCAACCACCACTCCCACACCGTGCCCGATACCCCACCACCCACATACTGTTGCCTAAGTGTCCGCCCTCAATGTACACCCTTCTGAGTCGTATTGCCAATGTGTATACATGCAATCTACAGATTGGTATCGAGTGCCAGAGAGAGGGAGAGACAAAGCCAGAGACAGACGTCCTGAAACATGAATCCCCTGGTCACTCTAACGTGTCTTGTATCCCCAG